TTGAGAAACTAAACAAACTCAAATATTTACTGAAACTTTCTCCATGACATGGTCTTCCAGAACATCGGCCAGTGATTGCTATACATATAAGATATTGCTGTATCCCATAACCTGAAGCTGAGCTGGACAAATTCTTTGCGAGCACTGTTAAGAGCATTTTTAGAAATTAGGTGTAAAAGGGAAGAATTACACGGTTTGTGAAGTCCTCTGAAAAAGTCCGTGTGGGGACAAGGGACATCCAGCAGATATTCTCCTCAGGTTTGTGAAAGGAATTCAGATTTGTTTCTCCAAAGGCTTTTAAGAAATTTGGCTATTAGAGGTTTGGAGGGGCATTATGCATAGAAAAACAAGAAAGAAAGGGTAGGAATGCATATATATATATAGTCTGTTTTCTCAATGGAGAGAGGCTACTGGAAGAGCTGTGCTGTTGTATGTAGACCTCGGTGATCTCTAAAAGGGAATGAAGAGCAGGCTGACAGATTTTTAGTGACACTAAGCTACTCAGGATAACAAAAATAAAGGCTGATTGAAAAGAGCTGTATAGGGACTCACAATACTAAGTGACCAGGCAGTAACACGGCACATGAAATCACATGATATAAAGGTATGCAACGGGGAAGTAAAGCGCTCTTAACTTCACAGGAGCTCTGGGTTTTTTCATTCACAAAATGTTGGAATTACACTAGCTAGCTCCCTGAAAACTTCATCTCGGTTCCCAGTGGTACTCAAGAAAGGAAACAAAAAAATGTTTGGAATTATCGAGAAAGAAAAAGAAATTAAAATAGAGAAGAGGATGCTGCTATAAAAAGCCATTTGTGTGGTCACACCTTGAGTACTGGGGCAAGCTTTGATCTCGCACCGCAGAAGTGCTACATCATTACTGATTAGCACATCATGAAGACCACTTCAGTACGCGTGCCAGCTGCCTCCTGAGCGAAATTCCACACTGCAGTAAGGATGGGCCCATCTTCTTAAGGACACTTAACTCTTCTACAGCACTTGTCATCCAGGGATCTCAAAGTATTTTAAAATGGAAGATAAGTATCATTATGCTTGCGTTATAGCTGGGGAAACGGAGACCTAGAGCAGCAATCCAAGTCGTTTGAAAATAAATAGCTGATGAAGGCAGAGACAGAAGTGAAATCCAGGTCTTCCTATTAGCTTACACACCCACTTGTGCCCACAGTTAACTGATTGCAGTGAATTATTTTCAACGAGACGCAAAAAGTAAGGGTTAGAAAACTGTTCAGTTCTCAAGCACAAGGGAAAAATCTATTAAAGCGGAATGTAAGGTTTGAAAAAAAAAACGAAATATTTGATCTGCCTGTTTGAAAAACTGAAAATTTAATACAATTTTAGCTCTGAGGAATATTGCAGAGCAGTTCATATCTCGGGTCAGCTCACAACAGTTACTGAGAAAAAAAGCAGCTCAGTTAACTGCCTCCGGTGCCTATTTTCTGAGGTTCGTCCTCTGTTCTTGCCGTGTTTTCATGGTTCACCGGTTCTTTGACAGGGATTACATTTAAAATTGCACATAAGAAATGTATTTTTCGTAATAAAATAAGGCTGAAATTCAGTTCCCTGGCATGCATTTCCAACCCCTTGCCCCTTCCTCACCTTCAGAGAGGGACGGATGATTGAAACTTGGTTATGCCACTCTGAGGAAAGATACCAGAATTAAAAAAAAAAACACTAATTTGAAGAGAAAATACTTAACAGAGTGTATTTTTCTAGTGCTATCAGAAATTGAATTTCAAAGCATCCAATGTACTGAATGTACTGGTTAGATCTCTCCTGGGATATGTTCAAGCCAAAATGCATCCAGGAATGAAAAAAAGATGGATGAATACCTACATTCTCTCCCTCACATTGTTTGTCAATAAAAATACAGGTTTCTCACTCAATATTCAGCATCAGCAGTTATACCCAGTTTCCTTTGTCTCTGGAATTCTCTATGAAATTGTTTCCTGTTTTCAGCCCAAGTGAGTGTTCAAGTTTCTTCTAAATACAAGCAGGAAAGCAAACACATCTCTCTACAGAATTGTTCCAAGTTTTTGTACTCTGAGCTATAACAGAGAATAATATGGTTTAAAGATGGACTTGAGGACTGCTACCATGATAAAAGGGCTTTATTTCTGACCAGTCTGCATTTCCCAGTGAGGTTCAGAACTCCTGCATGACCTGTTTCTTGGTGTTACACTACCTTGTGCTGCAGCAGTTTAATGCATAGAGGCAAGGAAATGAGAAATCAAAACCAGTGGAAATAATTTTTGACAGACAAAATCCTCCTAACTTTTAAAGAGACTCGGCATCTTCAGAAGCAGGTTTTATTTCTCTGGAACTAAGAATATTTACCAACAAGAGCACTGTAATCATATTGCTACTGGTTGGTATAACACAATGATGCTACCTTTGTCTAACAGGTAACCAGGACTCAGCTGAGCTGTACACTGGGCACGTGGCTCTCAACTAACTAAGGTGGGTGAAACCAATTTTAATCGCAACAGGCTGAGTGCTCAGGACAGGAACAGTAATTTGATCGTGTTTTTTTGACTTTTAGCTTTTAGTGTGAGCCCTCTTTTGGAAATAACATTAATTTCTTCTAGTAACATTCATGTCTTTTTACCTTTCCAGCAGTACACAGAATTGTTCTTTATGCTCTTTCATAAAACATAAACTTCAGTTGAACATTCCAATTCTTCATTAGTTCAAATCCAACTCATTAGCTGTGACTGAAGGAGGTCACAGAGTTGTACTATTTTTGAAATCTTTGTGTCTTCCATTTCTGGTGACCATTGTTCACCGTAAGGAGGAGGAAAGCAGCACTTTGTCCCCATCTATGTTAAGGCAGAGGCACACTGACGTACTGGGGGGGTGATTTTGACTGTGTTGCCCTGAGGACATGGCAGACATCAAACTTCAGTGCTCTTAATCCAGCATTTCTCACAGCACCCTTGATAGGGTCAGTAACTCCAATAATAATAAGTGATGCTTGAGTCATTACATACAATCTGATTTTATTCATGTAAAGATCGAAAAATGAGCCTGCCAAGCTGCTTTAACACACTGTGGAGTTGTGTATTTTAATCACATACACAAGACTCAGCTGTCTTATAAAAAAAAAAAACCCCCCCCCCCCCCCATTTTTGCAATCAGGACCATATTGTAACAGGAGTCTTCAGATTTGCCTCCTAGACTATGTTTCCAGACTCTTTTCCTCACCCAGCAGTGCTTGCTGATGGGAGCAGCCATAAGGAGAGGGAAGGAAGGGCGAGCCCTTATGCCACTTCTCTAAGTTGCTTTCCACCCCACAGCGCAATTACTGTCGTTATCTCATTAGTGCTTCAATTAGAGCTCAACTGCAGGCCCAGGTTGGAAGGTTCAGTACACAACATCAGTTCAGGGCAGTACAGGTATTGGCTCAGTTTAGAGAGGTCTCAAGGCTGCTTTAAATTAGAGGCAGATATAATGACCTGTATAGAAAGAGGCAGCCTCCAACTGCACCTCCATTTGCTGTGCCTCTGGGATCTCTAAATAAAGTGATGTTCTGGGGAGAACAAAGCTATTTTCATGACTCTAAGCCACCTGTGGTATCTGCCAGAGATGCTCTTCAAGGATATTACAGATCTTGTTGACTAAAGGGGTTATGGTAGATTCACAGACTTCCAGGCAATGATATGAAAACTAAATGCTCCAAGTATTGCAAACTTGCTAAGTTGTGCTGTCTAAATAGGATTTGTTTGGGAGTTAGTCTCCGTATCGGTGAGCCAATTTTGTGAGGCTGTTTGTGTTTTTGGGATGGGTCCCTTTGTGACACGTTATTATCTTATATATATGTGGTGACAAATTATTATATTATTATGTATATGATTATATTGTATCACACCAATTGTATTTCTCTCCTTAGAACATAAAGAAAAGAATTTTTATATAAAAATAAACTCCTACTTTTTTGTTTTCTCTTTTCAGCTACGCACAGCATGATCTGTCCGCTGCATCTTAAAAATTAACACAGAAATTAACTCTTCCATTTTCAGGTTGGGAGCCATTCAGATGAGTAGCTGGCTTCCTAGGCAACAGAGAAGCTTTTTTCATGCTGAACGGCATGAAAAGCACAGCACTGACAAGGTGAGAGCACGGGGCTTCTTGCCTTGAAAAAGCTGGCAGTGGCTGCCTACGCTAGAGCATTGGCATCTTCTCCATGGGTGTTGGAGTAGCGTAAAGGACAGCTATACCGAGACTTGATTCCCCAAGAGAGGGGACCCCACTGAGCCCCATGAATTCTCTGTTAGGGCATCTGCCTTTTTCCTAGGTGGCTTTTACTGCAAAGGAGTGGAAGAGTAGGATCCGGTTTTTCAGCATTGTCCTTTCTAATAGCATTGATCTTTTCCAGCCACATTCAGTATTTTCTGTGAAAGCACCACTGCGTTTTAGTTGAAAGTTCAAAATAGTTTGTGAATGAGCTTTCTTCTCTTCCTCTGCCTGCGGTTCATTGGCACAAGGGACAGATAAACAGCCTGGTAACAGTAGGTGCAGGAAAACTAACAAACAAGAACACAGGAATGATGGGGGTGAAGATGTAGGTGACTGTACAAGGAGATGCAATTCCTTACCATGATCATTACATTTTTCAAATCAACGCACGTGGCGGAATTGCCCTAGTTCCAAAAGCAGCAAGTGGATGAGCAGGTGTTGTAATGTACCTCCTGTTTTTGAACATTGTTCCTTCCCACATCTCAAGACATCGTACAAAGGAAGGCAGACAGCATTACAGAGGGAGGAGGAAAGAATGGCCTAAGGTCAAAGAAACAGCCAAAAAAAGATCACTGCAATTCTGACTTGCAGAGTTAGCTACTGTGGCAGCTTCACAGAACAGCTGAAGATGTTTGACCTTGCTTGTGTTTTATTTTACATAAAAGTAGATGAGGAACATCACAGATGCCTACCGAACTATCCCTCAATGGGAGATGGCAGTGACCTTCCACCACATACATACTTACCAGAAGAACGAGAATCACTGGCCCTTGATATATGTAGTCGATATACTTCCCTGGCTCTTTTCCAAACCAGCATCTGTAAGAAACAAAACAAATAAGAAAATAACTTGTAAAGGACAATGCACTTCTTTTAGATTTTAATATCAAGGACACCACAGAGAGATGTTCCCTTATTCCCCCAGTTGTTTAATCATGTGCATAATCAGCAAGCGATTGAGTTTTCTGCTACAAAACCACTTTTTGTCTGCACACAGATCTGAGCTCCATTTTCCCCTCCCACTAGACCATTCATGTTCCCACTATGTTTTTGGCTATTGCCCATGTAAACGTTTCCAAGAAATGTGAGAACTTGCTCTAAGGAGGATGCAGAAGATGCGTCCTGCTGGGTCTGAAAAAGGGCTGAAAGAAATATTCTTAGTAAGGAAGAAAAATCTGTTATCCATCGCAACATCCAGTGACACTTTAATTCCCTAAAGTAAGGGCTGTTACTTATGGCAAATATGTCTCAAGCTGCGTGGAAATGTTGTCTAAGATATTGGATGAATAAGGAGTTCATCTCATTGGCTTTGAACCAAGCTGGTGCCCACCAAATCCAGCACACGGTAGAGAGACATCACCTGAAGCTAGCAAACACCTGATCAACACCGCTTAAGTGAATCGGTGAATTAGGTTAAGTGGAAGCACAGGTAAAATGAAGGGCCTCAAACTAGCAGAGAGCCTGGATGTGTCATGTGTAACCGAGTGCTGGCTTGACTTTCACTTCCACTACTTACCTCTGGTTTTCTCCCTGCCGTGTTATACAACAGACTGAGCCTGTGATTTCACAGCGACCCATACTCACTTCATTCTCTTAACTGAGAGTAATAAGTGAGTTATACTTATGTCAGTAAATGAATCAGAAACTGGGATTAGGCCTGGCCTCAATCACTTACAGTATTCCATCTTCCTTGGTGCAGTTTTGGCCCAGGCCAAACAATATCCAAGCCCAAAACTATTCCCGGGGAACAAACCCGGAGCTCGCGTGAGTCAATAGCCTACAAACTGCAGCTACCCTGATTTGGAGGCCAAAAGGGTTTAATAATATGGATGTGAACTACTCCATGCTATTTGGACTCCAGCCCCAGGAACAATTCCAGGCCCAGCTAATTTAATGTTACAGATACAGCCACATGGTCTGGACCCTGGTTCCACCACGCAGAGACAACTTTGCTATCGTAACGCCTTAATGTATACATCATTTGAAATCCAGACACCTTAGGAAGTAGATTTTGGAGTTCAAAGGTCTGAGAGTTTTTTCCCCTTTGTGGATACCACATAGAAATCTACAGAGCAAAAAATATGTCTTCCCTGTGTTCGCCTCGTGACAAAAGGTAAGCTTAGTGCCACTGGAGACTTGAAAACAAGGGTAATTCCTGGGCCAAAGAGGCCATGGAGACAAGTGCAGATTTGCACTTTTCCAAGCATTCAAAAAATACCACTTGTGTCCTTGAAGAGGTTGCAGTCTGTAAGATACAAGCTCACGAGTCCAAGGCAAATAAATTGAGATAAGAAAAGCTACGGTTCAGATGGAATTCCTTTGAATCACATAATGCCCCCAAAGCCTTTCTCCAAAATGTGTTGCGTGCTAAAACAGACGGAGCTGTCTGCCCACTGCAAAATGCTCTTACCGAACGGAATGTACAGAAATACTGAAATACGCAGCAGATATCTAGGAATACAGTTCAGTATCACGCAATTGTTGGCCTTTTCTTGATTCAATTTCTACATCTTTTAAGTTCCAAATAAATGAGAGAACTCTGAATATTTTATAAATATAAAACATGCCTGTTATTCCCTGGTGCACTGACTGCAAATGAGTGTAAATTGATAATTTTGCAACCAATTTTCCAAAATCTGGTGATGAGAGCAAGACTTGGAATAAGGTACTTCCTGCACCCAAGTTATCATCCAAGAAGAATCCCCAGGGCAGCCTTAAATGAAGGAAACTGATTTTTTTGGTTTTTTATTACCGAGATGGAAAGATATGAAGAAAAATTAATTGCAAGATATGCCAAGGCAGGAAACACAGCTCTCCAGAACTTACAAGATCTACATTTGAGAGAGGTTTTTGAAGCGCATTTTGGGAGGACTATCATATATTGCCTGAAACTCAGAGAATCATGAGATATTAGAAGAGGAGTTTCTGGGAAGCTGGCTGTTCTAGCAGACGAATCTAGCAGAGGAACTAATAAGAAAACAGGCTGAGGCATCTGGCAGAACATCGTGGGCTAGAAAAAGTCAGCAGAGAGTTTGGAACA